CTAGTGAGATTCCCTTGCTGGAACTTCTAGCTCGACCTTTTCCAAATGTATGGAGCAGCTTAAGCGATTTTAGCACTTCGACTATACGTAAATAGAGGCAGTTGTCGAAGGTGCTAATTTTCGCCGACTTCGCTTTCAACTTCAACGACTAAAAAATCCACAAAAATTATTCCCTCAACCGAAGCCGTTTTGATATTCTAAAACTACGTGAAGTTTCCTATCAGATGATATCAAGCTTGCTAGCAAAACATTTCATCTTTGGAACGAAATTTCCGGTTGAAAAAAACGAAAGTACTTATGTGCCAACCCAATATTTTGTCGAGGAGTCGTTGAGTGGGAGTAAGACGGTTGGTCTGTTCTAATCAATCTACATCCCAACTTTCTGGCAGCAAGCCTGTTCCGTTTGCCCATTGTAGGTGTGGGTATCCCCACGAATGCGGGGAGTGTGTGGGGAGAGATCGCCGTAGTGAAGAAAACTTTTCCCCATCGTGAATATATGTTCCGGCTTGGTATGGAAAGAGTCATGTAAGGGCTCAAAGCAGAGGAAGCAAACCTATCATATAGTGGTGCTAGCCTCAAATGTTTCAAAAGAGTATTGACGTCAGGCCTTGTATATTTCGCGACTGGAGCGAATCGATCGCGCGACTACGACCGACCGTGAAAAGTGATAGGAGTTCTATTCCAGAGTGATTGAGTTGGCACTTGCAGCTGCTCAGCGACCGAGGGTGAAGCTGTTTGTCGAACTTGCACAATGTCAAACTCGTGCGGTTGAATCGCGAGGTATGAACGCGGCCTCCAAGTGGACGCTTGCAAAGTGGTGCAAACTTTGCTAAACTTGCAGTTAGTGGGTCCCACATTGATGGGTCACGCAAAAATACGGTGACCAAATAAAGTTTTACAACAGAGTTGGTAATGCTGCGTCATGCTTGTGCCAACTTTTCAGTTATCAGGCTCACCTAGCAATGTCGGAGCCGGTTATGAGTCTAAAAACTGAAAATTCAGATCGTATTCTGTCCTGCTGGTCTCATATCCTTCTTTGCTGGGGGAGGAAGTTTTTCACTGCAAAAACACTAGCAAGCGGGACACAAAGAGGGACACAAAGAGAGGGCATCGGACAAACAAGGCAGGATCTAGGGTCGGAGGTTCCTCCTCTCTCTCCACTTCTGCGCTGTTATGTCCAGCGCCTCAGTTGTGTCTG